AAACAAATTTTAAAAACCCAAAAGTATGGAATTTAACAGGGGGAAACAATACATTATCATTAGTTAATCTGCATTTTAAAAATCAAACCTTTGGCTGGGCGTGGTGGCTACACCTGTAATCCTAGCACTCTGGGAGGCCAAGGTGGGAGGATCGTTTGAGCTCAGGAGTTCGAGATCAGCTTGAGCAAGAGCGAGACCCCATTTCTACTATAAATAGAAATAAATTAGCTGGACAACTGAAAATATATAGAAAAAATTAGCCGGACATGGTGGCTCATGCCTGTAGTCCCAGCTACTCGGGAGGCTGAGGCAGAAGGACCGCTTGAGCCTAGGAGTTTGACGTTGCTGTGAGCTAGGCTGATGCCATGGCACTATCTAGCCTGGGCAACAGAATGAGACTCTGTTTCTAAACAAACAAACAAACATCAAACCTTTGCTGTTTATATTACAAATAGTTTCCCCAGTTTATCATCATCTACTTTTTAGGTTTGTTTCCAATTTTTTGTGTTGTTATAAGGTCAAATCTGTCAATCTTTCCTTTTATACTTTCTTTACTTGCTTTTATTTGCTTATGGCATCTACTAGAGTAGTAACTTATATTTTCTTCAGGTCTCCATTTATTTGTTTTGTTTTTTGGGGGAGGACGGGGAATTTATTTAATGGACAAGTACAGAAACAATAGTGTGAAATACTCCCTAAGGTAACATGATATAGATGGCATGGCATTCCACAGATTTGAGAAGGCAAGGAAAAAAACCCTTTTATAACCTAGGGACATATAAAATAGATTATACCCTGATCCAAAATCTCATAAACCCATTAAGTTATTAAATACTTAAAAATAATTCAAATATATTTCATTCAGTGAAGCATAAAAGCAATAAAAATGGATGTTACCATAGGTTTAAAAAGTCCACCCAAGAATACTCTGTAAATATCAATGATAGGTCTCCATTTAAAACCACCTAAACTTCTTTTTGGAACACAAGGAGTTAAAAATAAAAATCCCCATCCATATATTCTTCAACAAGTAGATCATTTTCAAAAGACCCTGAGCAGATAAACAGCTGCATCTTATATCTGTCTTCCAATACTTTGAAAAAACCAAAATGGAAAACTTAGATTATTCAATTATATAAAAAATTTTAAGGGTTCTTACCTCGACCTAAAACACAAATAGCCATTAAATTGGAAGAATAATAAGTAGAATGGAATTTCAGTAGCTCTTGTCTTACATCAATGCCTTCTTGGTTTGGTCTAGTCTCTAGAGTATATTTGTTACCTGAAAGGGAAGAAAAGGCAATACTTAGAAGAAGCAAACTATGTGGACTTTAAAGTTATATAATTATTACTGACATAGCTAATAAGATAAAAGCAATTCAAACTAATACACATAATTAGTCAAATATGTTTGACTATAATGTGGATAAACAGGACAGTATAGTACGAACAATAACATTTAAAACTACAGAGTTTTCCCTAAGGAACTAAAAGTGGTTTATAAAAATCATACTTCTTAAAATCCCTATGGGATAGTAGGTATTATAAGCACTTACAAGATAAAATGTGATCCACATGGCCTCCATTCACACTACTTTAATTTTCAATTCCCTATGTGCTCCATAATTAATTGAACAGAGCCACTGAGGGATATTTTTGGAACTTGCCAAGTTACTCATGGAAAGAAATTTACTATTTTGGGCTGAAACATTAAATTTGTGATGCGAATTCTCATGGATGTGATCTAGACTGGTAAAAATAGGATACAATGCTATTTTTATAAATCTCAAGTGATATATACAATGTACCACTAAGAGCTCTTATGAAATTTTGATAACTAATTCAGTTAGGATAAAATATTCATATCAAAAGAAATTGTCAAATATCTCTAAATAATACCTTTCTAATGAAGACCTTGTAAATTAGAGACTGAGAGATGAAATTGCAATGATTAGCGTCTCTCCAAAATGGCATCATATCCTAAGATCCTGGCCTGATAATTTTTAGTATTGGTCCTGCTTACACTAACTATTACATGAAATCTTGTCTTTCTTCTGCAGATATAAAACTATGGTAGAACATGTTCTTGATGTGGCTTATTTTTTTTCCTTGTGTTTTTATAGTGTCTGACAAATTGGCTTTGGGAAAGTCCCTTCTTCACTAAATTGGATGTCTAAAGAAAACCACCAGATGGCGATCTCAAACCCAGTCTTTAGCTCAGTAGTGCTGCACAGTACTCTGAGTTAAGATTCATGCCCCAGAATGCTTAAATCAACAGATCCAGTGAAGAGTTTTCAAGAAACAGCATGGCAAATGCTCATTAATCTTTTTCTAGTCACAAAGCAATCATATGAATTCATACTCACTGTAAGCAGCCTACCAAGTTTTCAGGTTCTTAATTAGTCTTCTCAGTTTCTCACTAAAGACTCAATCAATTCCAGATCTGCTCTACTGGCCAGAGAGGTCCTGAGACATCTTCTCACTCTACCTGAGGTGGTTCAGGTGCTCTTAAATGTATCCATAGTTCCAACTTCTGGGGGGGAGGAGCCTTTGCTGGGGAATGGTTTGAAATTCTCTCATATCAAGGTGGAATCTGAGTGTTGATGGTGCCTCTCTTCTCTACACATGAAGATTCTAAAAGCCTCAGTTCCACAGGCCTGTAATCCTAGCACTTTGGGAGGCTGAAGCAGGAGGACTGCTTGAGGCCAGGAGTTCGAGACCATGCTGAACAAGAGCAAGATCCCATCTCTACAGAAAATAGAAAAATTAGCCAGGTGTGGTGGCACACACCTGTCGTCCCAGCTACTCGGGAGAGTAAGGTTGGAGGATCAGTTGAGCCCAGGAGTTCAAGGTTGAGGTGAGCTATGATGAGGTCACTGCACTCCAGCCTAGTCAACAGAGTGAGACCCTGCGTCCAAAAAAATAAAGTGCTTTTTGTTGTTATTTATTTGTTTTTGTTCATGGATAAGTGCTGAGTATTATCCAATGCTTTTTTTGTTTGGTAGTCTACTGACTGCCTATCACTTTGGATTATTTAAACTGTGGGCCAGGACCCATTATATTGTAATGAAATAAATTTAAAGTATTGGCAGACCAGAATTTTTCTGGAAAAAAAGAATATGACAGAAAGTCATATGACAGAGAGTACCAGATGATGTAAGTACCATGATGTAAGACTGATTTATTTATTTTTTTTGGGGGGGGGGGGTTTGAGATAGAGTCTCACTGTGTTGCCCCGGCTAGAGTGCCATGGTGTCAGCCTAGCTCACAGCAACCTCAAACTCCTGGGCTCAAGTGATCCTACTGCCTCAGCTTCCTGAGTAGCTGGGCCTACAGGCATGTGCCACCATGCCCGGCTAATTTTTTCTAAATATTTTTATTTTATTTATTTATTTATTTTATTTTATTTTTACTCAATATTTTTAGTTGGCCAATTAATTTCTTTCTATTTTTAGTAGGGACAGGGTCTTGCTCTTGCTCAGGCTGGTCTCGAACTCCTGACTTTGAGCGATCCACCCACCTCGGCCTCCCAGAGTGCTAGGATTACAGGCGTGAGCCACCGTGCCAGCCAACACTGATTTTTTTTGATAAAATTTTGTTTCAGCTGCTTATACAAACACATATGTGCTCTGAGTGCTAGGTAAATGTGCTTCTTACTGTGGGATATATACAAAAGAGTTTGAAAACCACTGATCTACACTACTTCTGAAGCATGAAAAACCACTGTAAAGGACAAACATCTTATTATATGTAAAATATAACACATGCTTGGTTTTTGTTTCATTCTAAAATACATACGTTTTCCTGAATTATTAAAATCATAATCCCTCGATGGAAAAAATGGCTCACATCACAGAAACATTCAAAATAACAGAGGTAAATTAGCATGAATTTCTAACAAGATCCTCCTTCAAAGACTCCTTGCAAAATTTTATATATGTATAATTTCTGATGAAGGTATACAGCTTTTCATAATATTTCAAACATATCTGTGACCTTAAAATGGACAGACTCTATATTCTAAACTCAATGTTAGTTTATATTTCTAAAATCAGAAGGTAACTTGACATTTGTATTACTTACATCACATTTCCACACTTGTGTACTGAGTCTGACTCCCTTGTCTTTTAGCTGTTTATATTACCTTGTACTTTGCTAACTGCCTAGCCTTGTCAAGTTAAAAAGACAAATATGCCCACAAACTTCACCCATCTATATATGCCGTGAAATGTATCTCTTTGCCTATAATTCTTGAAACCTTCCTCTGGGACATTTTAAGATTGTTTCTTGCTTGTGACAAGTTTACTTGTGACAACATTACTCACTTTATTCACTGAATTTATTTCTGGAAGATTTGTGGCTGCTTCTTGATTACACTGGTTATGATTTGTCATCAGTGAGGCTTTTTTAAAAAAGGCACACCCAAAGAGGAGCTCAAACATGTTTCTACACAATAGTAGCATTGTTGATATAAATATCTAATCTACTGAAAGGACTACTTTAAAGAACAACAATCGCGGCGGTAGGTGGCTCACGCCTGTAAATCCTAGCTCTTGGAGGCCGAGGCGCGGCGGAGCTTGCTCAGGTCAGAGTTCAAAACCAGCCTGTAGCAAGAGCGAGAACCCCGTTCTCTACTGATACAATAGGAAGAGAAATTTAATTGGCAACTGCTATTATATAATAAATAAATTAGCCGGGCATGCGTTGGGCGCGCATGCCTGTATGTTCAAGCTACTCCGGGAGGCTTGAGGCAGGAGACTCGCTCGAGCCCAGGAGTTTGAGGTTGCTGTGAGCTAGGCTGACACCACGGCACTCACTCTAGCCTGGACAACAAAGCGAGACTCTGTCTCAAAAAAAAAAATAAAAAAAAAAATAAAAATAAATAAATAAAATAAAATAAATAAAAACATTCACAAGAAAATACTTAGGAAAAAATGAGAGCCAGAGTAAAAAGATGTGGTGGTGTACTACACTCAGAAGCTGTTGCCCAGGAGACTTACCTTTTGATTTAAGTTCTGATAACAGACTTCCAGGACCTTCATGCCCAATGAGATGACCAAGATAATGACCAGGATTTGATTTGTAGTATTTCTGAAGATCAGGTATGGGAAATGTCACATAAAGATTCCTAATATCTTTAATGGGTACTATTTTATAAAGTTGCTGGGGGAAAAAAACCAAACAAAACATAAAAGATTAGCTGTATACAATTCCTACTGAATAAAATATTTACCAACTAAGAAGAATACTGATTTTCATGGAAAAATACCAAACTTAGGAGCAAATCAATTGCCAGAGAAAATCATATCAACCACAAAGAAATAAATGACCAGACTCCTAGTGGAATTTCATTACCACTGGTATGCAGTCCTTCTGTTGTCCCCTGGACCATGCCACTATAGTTTTGGCGGCTTGCCTTCTGGCACTGGACAATGGCTTCAACAATCTGCCAGGGCTACAGCTATCAAAACTACTTTTAGCATGCAAAGATCAGAACATGTTGATATGTTTTGGTGATTCATTTTCCTAATAAATGTAAAACTGATTTGATTATCCTGACAAATATTAAAAACTACATAAATAATGAAATCTCCAAAATTTTTCACTTATTCTTTGTTAAACTAGGTATACATTATGTCCATAAATTAAAAATATAAAATACTTGAAATAGATGTACTTACTTTAAGATGTTCTTCTTGGAAAGGGTGTTCAGGAAATTCTGGCAATGGGACATTTTTGTTCTCTACTTCAGAAAACAATTTTACCACCAGATTAGTCAAGTCATCTAAAGATTCTGCAAGAAAACAGATAAAACAGAACTTAAACTAATCATAATATATGATAGGTAATATTTAAGACCCTAGGTTCTCCTGAAAAGTGCCCAGACTATTAAAAGGAAAATCTGGAATTTTTTTTTTTTTTGAGAAAAAAGCACTTTTCAAATAATGTGGCATTACACAGACATTTTAGGAACCACCATCATTTCATTCAATGATGCTATTATTGAGTGCCAAGTACTATATTTCTAAATAATATAATATCACTACTTCTAACTACAGTTTTTAAAAATTCCTTCTAATTCTGTAAAGCCACACTAATTTGTCTGGCTGCTGTTAGATATATTAGAATGGTATCCAAAAAAGAAAGCTATATTTATAGTATTTAAAATTTCCGCCGGGCACGGTGGCTCACGCCTGTAATCCTAGCTCTCTGGGAGGCCGAGGTGGGCGGATTGCTCAAGGTCAGGAGTTCGAAACCAGCCTGAGCAAGAGCGAGACCCGTCTCTACTATAAATAGAAAGAAATTAATTGGCCAATATATATATATATATAAATATATATATAAAATTAGCCGGGCATGTGGCGCATGCCTGTAGTCCCAGCTACTTGGGAGGCTGAGGCAGGATTACTTGAGCCCAGGAGTTTGAGGTTGCTGTGAGCTAGGCTGACGCCACGGCACTCACTCTAGCCTGGGCAACAAGCTCGACTCTGTCTCAAAGAAAA